GAGAATTGAAACAGAAACTTAAGCAGTCTGCTGCTCTGAGAAGTAAACTAGCAGTCTGTCTGGGCTTGTCTGGGAAAATGAAAGCAAACTGCTTGTGTTTGCCTGTAACTCTCCTGCCGAAGAACCACCTGTTGGTACATTTATTCAGTTAATGAATCCTGCTGCATCACTTATGTGTGTGCTTCTGGATTTGAATTTATGCAACAAACTTTGACACAACCAACTCACCCAGGTCAACTCATCTGGCCAACAGCGGGATAACTTAACATAACCACCGTTTCTTCGATGTTATTTTAATTTTTGTCATTCCCATTTCGTTTTGCCCCTCCTTCAGCATTCTTGCTTTAATGATTCTATTCCACTGTTTCTTTCATATTGATGTAATTCTCGTATGCATCAAAGAAATGGTGGAATGGAATCCTTAAAGATAGGATGCCAAAGGAGGGACAATACGAAATGGGGATGTCACAGAATTAAAATAATGTCTAAGAAACAGTGGTGGATAAAAGGCCAGGATGAATTGGCCATGGCGAGGTACAGTAGCTGCGGTGAGTTATCCTAGACCTGTTATTTTAACTTGCAAGGGATTCTACTTTTAGCAATCAAACCGTATTACAAAATTATTTTATCTTTGAGACAGAAATATAAGAATTGGACGCTACATTCGGCCAGATAATTTAAGCTAATTGGGTCATAATAGCAACAGTATTTATATATAGACATATACTACTTTACAGTGCTTTCACAGCCCTCTCTAAGCGGTTTACAGAGTCAGCCTCTTGCCCCCAACAATCTGAGTTCTCATTTGACCCACCTCAGAAGGTTGGAAGGCTGAGTCAACCTTGAGCTGGTCAGGATCGAACTCCAAACTGTGGGCAGAGTTAGCCCACAATGCTACATTCTAATCACTGTGCCACCATGGAAGGAGAAGGAAGGGATGGAGGGAGGGAGGGAAAAGAAAGGAAAGGAGGGAGGACTAGCAATAGGCTTATATTATAACAATTGTGATCCTCCTTTTACTGAACTTGGAAGGATGGAAAGCTAAGTCCACCTTGAGCTGGTCAGGATCGAACTCCAGACTGTGGGCAGAGTTAGCCTGCAATGCAGCATTCTAACAACTGTGCAACTGTGGAAGTGAGGGAAGAAGGCAATAGACTTATATACTATTCACGGTGCTTTACAGCCCTCTCTAAGTGGTTTACAGAGTTAGCCTATTGACCCAGCAATCTGGGTCCCCATTTTACCCACTTCGGAAAGACAGAAGGCTGAGTCAACCTTGAACCTGGTGAGAATTGAACTGCCAAATTGCAGACATCCGGCAGTCAGCAGAAGTAGCCTGCAGCATTGTACTCTAACCACTGNTATAAATTAATTCAAAATTTAGAATATCTCTTCCAAAATGAAGGAATAATCTAGTCAAATAAAAGATTAATAATGATAATAATGTATACATATATATTAAATTGATAATATGAGATTTTATATAAATTGTAAGTGAGGACTATGGAGAGGATGCATAAAAAGTTTTGTAACCAACCGACATGCTGGATGTATCTGGAAGATGTTTTTATGTTTTATGTTTTGTTTAAGTTTATCCTTAAAAAATAAAAATCCTTATAAAAAAAAAGTACAAAATAGAAAAGCCAGAATTTTGCTCACGAAAGAAAAAGAAAAAAACATTTACTCTGAAAATGGCTTCTACTGATAAAAACTTGGGTGGAGTTTCTCAACTCAAGAATACCAAAACATTTTTAAAAAAATAGTCTGTTAAAATTTGTGTTTAACTGCACTGTTTCTTAAAAAGCCGCAATAACCTTTGCCATTAACCAAGAAAACAATTTTTTACTTCTTTGCGATCTAAATTTGCTTCCCTTAAAAAAAAAGAAAAAGAAAACGCTTTGTCGGAGATCTCCTTGTTAAAACAAAAGTGTTTTTTTCCCTTTCCATTCCCTTTAAAGGTGTCTGTCTTTAACAGATAATTACCAAAATTACCTTAGAAATTGCCTGAGTCCATTTTCGTTGACAAGGCGCCGTTTCAGCTCCGAAGAGAAATGCGCGTTCTGACAGTAAGTAGATTTCAAAAGTAAACATCGCTCTAAAATTGCCAAGGAGAAGATGAATCAAATTTATTCAGCGTTAGCTTTAGAAACGCAAAACAATAAGGGGTACAGACCTTACTCCTTGGCAACAAACAGCACAAAAGTTTTGCTCTCTAAAGTGCTTTTATTTGCGTTTGCCTTTGTTTGGAAGATAATGGGGAATCGATATGCATTTGATAGTCTAATGAAGGGGAACAGAAAGGGGATCAACCAGACTAAGGCATGAAAAGCTAAAATAAGGGAACTAAACCAATAATTCAGGTGGGAGGGAAAGAACAATAGTCAACATATTGCCTGATCAAATTGAGGCTCGGTTTTAAACTGGGGAGGGAGGGAAGAGAAGTCTTCAGAGTTACATTTAGCTATGGCTTTAGAACTGAAATGGAAAATATGGTGTCTTTGTGCATCTTATAAAGCCCTTCATGGTATTGGACCTGGGTACTTGAGAGACCGCCTGCTGCCAATCACCTCCACTAGACCAATTAG